GGACGCTGCATAACAACACTGTCGGTGTGCTTGTGTCTGCAGATCGTCCAGGCCTAACCAGTGTGGAGCGAATCGAGCGTTGCCAAGAGGAGTTCCTGTTGGCCTTTGAACATTATATCAACTACCGCAAACACAAAGTGGCACATTTCTGGCCCAAGCTGCTAATGAAGGTGACGGACCTGCGGATGATCGGCACCTGCCACGCCAGCCGATTCCTCCACATGAAAGTGGAGTGTCCCACCGAGCTGTTCCCTCCTCTGTTTCTGGAGGTCTTCGAGGACTGACCAGTGGATTTGTGTGTGTGTGCGTGTGTGTGTGCGCCTGGGCACCCTGGTGGTCTCAGGGTGGAACCAGCAGAAGCCCGTCACAACGAACCTTCAGCACTACTGAGTGTCACTTCATTCCACCTTAGAGTAGCTCTCTGGTCTATTTTTGGATGAAACCATTCCTGACAGTGCGGGTACATGTGAATAGCTTTTTGTTCTGTCATTGTTGTCATGGATATAACATCTCACCTCAGATCTGACTCTAGGTTTTTTGTTTTCATTCATGGTAATCTTATCAACACTTGTCTGTTCGTTAGAAGCCAAGCATACGTTGTATATTCCTTCCTTTATGTTAAATACTCGGCTGCTCGCCTCGTCCACGACACGAGACGCCGTCAGCGAACCCGCTCCACTTTACCGCATTAATATATCAACCTTCGTCCATCCGGTGAGCGTCCAGTCTGTCCGGTGCCTCGCCATCCTACTGTGACCGTTAAAAACGCGTACTCTAACGGACGGCAGCTCGCAGGTCTCTCGGCAGCCGCACATTACGAGGTTAAGTTGCAACGCTGCATTCCAGAGCTGTCGGAAAAACAAACGCCAGCTCGAGACGCGCTCCGAGCGAGAAACCTGAGCAGGATTTTGCGATATTAAAGCGGACCTGTGTGTCTTTTCTCATTTGATGTTGCAATGCTGATTGTTCCTATTAAACATGACCAAAGTTTCAAATCATTTAAATATATGTAAAAACAATCGCAGCACTTGCTGCTATTAAATCGAGGTTTCCAAAGGTTTCTCTCGCACCTTCTGTGACACTCGTTTGCTGCAGGCAGTAGAGCTCGTCCTGAGCCAGGCTTCCCGAAGCCGTCCTATTGGAAGAGAGTGGCTCGTTAGGTAAGGCGAATCTTAACGAGGCAGAGCTACACAGGAGAAACCGACAGTCTGCATGACGCACAAATCTAAGGACACTAGTCTGAGTCCCCTCAAACGTCACACGGTGGCAGTGCACGCTGCAAACACAACACACACACACACACACTGAGCTTTCAGCTAACAGTAAGTCTACTTACTCACCCTTAAAATGATATGTGGCATTTTGCAGGATATTGCATAAATATACGGGCCAAAATAGTCAAACGTCAGCTGTTTATGAGCAGGAAGCATCTTTGTGTCTGGTTGAAAGCAAAGCATGTTTATGAAATCAGAGTGTGGACACTAATAAACTGAGAGAGCGTCTCTCGCTTGTTGTTAAATGCCTTTGGACTTATTGTTAGACAACATGATATGACCGGTGCTTTGATACTTTATAGACTTGATTAATTAGCACAACCTCAAAGCATTTCATATGCAACTCTGACAGATTAACTTGCAGAGGTTCTGTGCGCTCAAACCTGTACAGTGCAAAAAATCTTGCTCGAGTTTCTGTTTGTTTGTCTTTATTTCGACAAGAAACAAAACGAGGAAACGACAAAACCAAAACTGCGACGTAGACGTGAGCGACAGCGAATGGAATGCAGAAGCAGCGTTAAAACGAGCCGCTCGTCGCGCCGGAGACTCGTCACACGGCGGCACTGAGGCCGGGATCGACTGTGTGCCACAGTACTGCATGTTGTGCCAAAACCAGGTGAACAATGCCCTCACTGCATCCTCCCTCCACTTCCTTAGTTGAGTATGAACTGTCGGTCCTGCCACACAGGCTGTCCTCTTCGCTGTCTGCGGTTGGAACTTCAAGACCAGCAAGATTTCAGTGTTTCATCTCAGCCATGTTGCCTCAAAGCAAGTAATTAGTCACCATTTTTTCTGTTTGTGTCTCCGTGAGTGGACGTGGACTTTCTATTAAAACAGTGAAGTCATGGTGCTATGGTGAGTTGGGGCTATGGCTGATTGAAGCGTGTTGTTATTTACATGTGTGAATAAGAGCCCTGCATATAGTACAGTAACACACATGCACATCACATCTGTGCAGCTGTTGTGCAGCAGCTGATCAGCCACAACAATAAGACTGGCACAGATGCTGGTCCCACTCGGGTACTGGTGGTTTTCATGGGCCTCTGTCTGCCTCGGTTGGAGGTAAATGGGGGGGTTTACCAGCAGAGACCAGTGTTCACCTGTAACTGGTTTTAGTGATGTGGCTGATTGGTGTGTCGCTCACACAGATAACACATGGGTCCGACTCCACGACTGTGACCGACCGGTGGCATTCGGAGGCCAAGTAAACTGTACGCTTCGCCACCACCAAGCTGACGAGGCTGGTGAGATTGTGAAACGCAGAGCTCTTTCTTCGTTCTGTAGCCTCTGGTTTTGTTTCGTTTCTTGGAAAAGCCTCAGTATGGTATTGCCGTTTGCAATGTGACAGACCTCGGCTCTTTATATGTCGCTTTTTCGAGCTTCACACTACTCCTCAAAGCAGCTTGTATTTTATTTTGTTTCTTCTCATTTCTGTGAAGTGATGCCTTTTTATCAAAGCAATAGAATTGCTGCAGTGTTTGAATGACCCGGACCTCACACATATACACCTCGCAAACTGTACAGATAAATGCACAGACAATCAGAGGGAGAGGCACCCGAGCTCAGGCTGGTCCCCGTCGACGTGAAGGGCCGGGCCGGGCCCCGCTGAGACGGAGCCATTCAGAAACGTAACGGTTGGCCACGTTTACATGCACCGCTGCGTCTGCAGCCGTCAAAAGACTTTGACGAAAGCTGTCAGAACGCGCATCCAACATCAACGTGCTAGACTCATTAACGTAACATCAGCTGTTTTTCTAATGAAATGAATGTCTTCATGTCTCGGTAGCAGGGGCTGGCTGCTCAAACACATCAGAAGTTAGCTGACTATCTAATGTTCAACCCAACGGTCCCAGGATCTCAGCTCAGGACCTCAATGTCCCTTTGGTGTGCTTCTGTTGGTTGGAACATGCAGATTGAACAAAGTCATGTTAAAAGCATCATTTTTATGCGGTAAACATGGTTTGTTGTTGCACGTTCCCGGTTCTTAGGCTCTCTTTCACGTCTTTTTTTAACTAAAGACTTTTAGTCTAGTCTCAGGAATTTGGCAGAGTAACTTTTCAGACATTCAGCTAAAGTAGCAGCAACTATGCAGCCCGAAAAACAAAAAGCTGTGTTTGCTCTTGATTTGGCCTGCCAGTCCTCCGCCAGGATAGATGTTGGGCTGTAATTAGCCGCTACCTCATGAGCAGGGAATTTTGGCCTGGGAATCAAAACTGGAACTTTGTTACTGCTGTCAAATGTAACAGTTCCCGAGTTTGTGCAGATGATTCTGTTTTCCTGTGCAGGTAAAGAGACACTAAGAAAGCTGCACAGATTTTAACCACTGAAAGTCCAAAATTAGGTGATTGACAGCTTTATGTTTAATGTGTTTTTGTAGCGTGCTTTAGATTGAACAAAGGTTTCTTTAACAGGCTGATGATATTTGTGGCTTCATGTTCAGGATACTCATCATAAGCATAAAATGAGCCACTGTGTGATCAGGACAGCGACAGCCGTCAGTTTCTTTCACATCAGCCCGTGTTCCTCCTTACTTTCTAGTTTGTTGCATTTTTCAATTTGCTGACTTCAGCTACAACAAGGGGATTACTGAGACCACCTCCCTCATTCTAAACATACAGTTTGAACGCTTTGAAAGCGTTGCAGGCTTACTCGTTGGAGGCAAAACATAAAGGCAAGGGTGGCTCAAAACTTTTGCACAGTACTGTATCTAAAGCCTAGCCCTGTGATTGGATGGATGGAGCCAGCCTGTCTGTGCAGCCAGCCCCGTTGTCAGAGAATGAACTTGAAGGTAGAGACATCTCACAGTTATCATAAAAGTCACATAGATACTGTAAAACTAATGCAGGTTAAAGAACTGCTGAAGAACACAATAATCAGGAATCATGAAGAAGAAACAGTTTGAAACAGTGACCTGGATAAAAACCTGGTTTCTGTAAAAAAAAATATAAACCTGTCAGTAATACTTTCACTCATAAATGTAATAAAGTCGAGCAGTTCATAACAATAAACCTGTCAGTTTTATGGTTGAGGCAAATGATGGCCTTGATGTAGTAATATATCATCAAACTTGTAAAGTTATTTCAGTCTGTGGACGCTCTAATATGAATCCTGAAAGTTTAGCTTAAAAAGCTGAAGAGCAGCCGGGCTTTTTGAGCTCTTCTCCACGTTCCTCTGGGTTCTCCCGATGACTTTGTTGGCATGTTGATCAGTTATCTGAGCGTTTTACTGAGGAAGTGAAACCAAAACAAGGAGTTAAAACTTGCAAAGATCTGCAACAGTCAAATAGTTCACAGCAGGATGATGAATGCAGCTTTAATCCAAAATAATCGACATGTTTTTTTACACTTTGATACATAGTTTCACTTTTTTTTCCTTTTTTGCGGGATGGCTATAAATTGGGAATCTTGTATCCTGGCTGTGTTCACTGAGCACATACGCAGAGCTGTGGTGCACGTAAACGTCGTCATTGCTCGCCGCTGGTTAGGAACACGTTTATTTTACCTGAGGAGGTGAACGTTGGTCGTGAGCTCTCCCGTGAGTTGTTGCTCGTAAGGTTTCTCAGTTACAACCAATAACAAGAGTTGCGCCATAGAGAAGCTATTTTACAGTACAAAGGAAAAGGATGTATATTTTCAGACTGCAGATTTTTTTTACAGATGTTAGCATAATATGAACATATTGTTTTTGCATAGTGTTAAAAAGATACAGTGTTGCTCTCAAATGTATTTCCACGTCTGATGGAGACGTATTTAAAAAAAACAAATGATAAAAACAGTTAAATTAGCTGGATTCACGTCCAAAAGAAACCACACATGAGCACGTTTAGGGACAGCGTGGTCACAAGGAGGCGGTCATCCACAGTCGGCACAGATTTCTCTTCTCTCCTTGTGTGTTTGAGTGTCTTCTTGTTTAAGTCATCTGTTTAATGCAAACCGGGAATTCGGCCAGGAGGTGCAGAGAAATGTGAAAGTGAATCTGTGGCAGAAAAAAAGGTAGAACAAAGAATATTGTGTTCCTCAAACGGCTGTTGGACATTTTCAGC